CCAGGAGGGGGCGAGTGAGAGGCAACTGCACATTGATGTTTCTTTTCCTTCCCCTCTCTCTAAAAATAAATAAATAAATAAATTTTTTAAAGAAAAGAAAGAAAATAGTTTAGAATGACTGACACTCTCTCTAAAAAGCTGTTCTTCCCCACTGTTTGGGAAGACTGGAAATACCTGAACAATAAGCTAGGAATAGAGATATGAAAATGACCAGGAATACTCTTTTTTTTTTTAATAATACATATCATAAACATATAGCTAGTTTCTTTTTTTAATTAATTAATTTATTTTTTCAAATACATTTGTCTCTGCCTACCCCTCACTCTTTTAAAGTACTCCTGAGCTCTAGCTTCCTGAGCCCTTTCCAAATCTACTAAATTTAAAGCCCTGGTGCTAGAAATAGCTATCTTTCAAATGCTCCTTATGATTTCAAGGTAAAGTGAATTTTGGGAAGAACCACTGCTGCAAGTGCAGTTCTCCATGGTGCCCCCAAGTGGCAGTTCTTGTTAGCAGCTCTCAATAGAGTCCGGGCAACTTATTTCTACAGAGGCAGCAACTGGGCTGATAGGAACCCTGGATGGAGTTGGCTCCCTGCGGCACTGCTGGAGGGGTATGTATGTCTATGTGGGTGTTCCCACCAAAGCTCCTTTCTTTGGCTGGCCTCAAAGTGATGGAGGCCCTCTTTGGTCAATTATAGGGTACACCCAGTAATTCCTATTTGGGGGCTCAGCGTCATTCTCTACAAGCAAGCAAAGCAGGGTCCCTGCTGAGCCCTTTCTTGGCAGTAATTGTACAAAAAGTGCCTTTCTGAAATGAACCTCTTGGAAGGCTTCAGTTCAAAGCTTCCTTCTGTTTACAGGCTGGATAACAACATACTGGTCATACTATTACCCCTGCACTGTCCTCCATTATCCCCCACTTGGCCAAACAGGTACTGAGGCTTGATCATAGCTCAGAGTGAGCCTCTCTTTTTCCTTTGAGTACAAGCCCAGGATACCGGATGCAGGATTAATCTTTCTTGGGAGTAGCTGAATTTACTTTTCTTATCCATTTGGGGTTTATTCTTGAGTATGGTGTAAGTTAGTGATTGAATTTCATTTTTTGGCCTTATCTGTCCAATTTTCCCAACATCATTTTACAGATGATAAAGGGTTAATCTCCAAAGTATATAAAGAATTTATACAACTCAACACCAGGAAGATAAACAATCCAATTTAAAAATGGGCAAAAGACCTGAATGGACAGTTTTCCAAAGAGGACATAGAGATGGCCAAAAGACATGTGAAAGAATGTTCAGCGTCACCATCAGAGAGATGTGAATTAAAACCACAATGAGATATCACTTCACACCTGCCAGAATGGCTACCATCATTAAATCGACAAACAAGTGCTGGCAAGGATGTGGATAAAAGGGAACCATAGTGCACTGTTGGTTGGAATGCAGGCTGGTACAGCCACTGTGGAAAACAGGGTGGAGTTTCCTCAAAAAGGTTAAAAAATGGAACTGCTTTTTGACCCAGTGATCCCACTCCAGGGAACATAGCTTAAGAATCTCGGAACACCAATTCGAAAGAATATGTGCACCTTTATGTTCATAGCAGCATTATTTACAAACAGCCCAAGTGTCCATCAGTAGATGAGAAGATAAAAAAGCTGTGGTACATTTACACAATGGAATACTACATGGCCATAGAAAAGAAAGAACTCTTGCCTTTTGTGACAGCATGGATGGACCTGGACATTATTATGCTGAGTGAAATAAGCCAGTCAGAGAAAGAAAAAATACTGTATGATCTCAATTATATGTGGAATCTAATGAACAAAATAGAAACAGAGGCATGGATACATGGAACAGACGGATAGATGTCAGAGGGGAGGGGGGAGAGTGGGACTGAATGAAAGAAGGTGAAGGGATTAGCCAAAGAACATGTATGTCTCACCCACACACACCAACAGCAGTGTGGCGATGGCCAGGTGGAAGGGGGAGAGGAGGCTGGGAGGAGGGGGCAAAGGGGAGGGCAATGGAGACATCAGCAACGACGTCAACAATAAAAATAAAGAAAAAAAATAACTGTAAACTGGTACTTCTGTACCCAATAAGAGAAAGAATTCACGGACAACAGTGTGGTGATTACAGGGGAAGTGGGTGGGTAGAGGTGGCAGAGGGTGTAGGGGAATAAATGGTAACAAAAAATACAATAAAATTTTTAAAAATGAAAAAAAGAATCCTTCAACAATGGAGGTGAATTATGCTACATGCTTAGTTTAATTCATAGGACATACTGGAGATGAATTTGCATATTGGCCCTGACACTTTTGAGACACTATGAATTGTTTCTGGTTTCCCTGTGTTCTGAGAAGCCATCTTCTAAATGTGGCTCTTTTGGCTCACACAGCAGGAGATTTACTGGTCTCTGCACATACTTCTATTGAAGCATTTATAGTATCACTTTGCGTTTACTGGTTTATATGTTTGTTTCTCTTACTTGGCTGTCACTCCTATGAAAGGTTTTGATCATAGTACGTAACAATTATATTTCAAGTGATAACCAGAAGCGCATTACTATAAAACTAAAATTTAATGATAGTAAGATAATTTCACAGTCATTTGTCTGGGAAATATTGGAGACAGGCTTCCAAAACTTTTAGAATAGCCCCGCATGTTATATTTTAGGTGATATCCAAAATCATATTACTTTAGAAGGAAAGATGACTTAGGGCAATTTATATATTAAACTAATTCATGTGTTAAAGAAATTCAATCTCAAAGAGATTACGTAACCTGCCCATGATCCCAGAAAGGCTAGAGTAAGGCCCAGAAAGAACTCAGTCTTCTAATCTTAGGGACATTCTTCCGAATCATGGTATCTCAGAATTAGGACTCTTTTTACTTATACTAGATTCAGCATCTCTGTGTTTCCTCTAAAACAGTTTTGAATTTAGCAATTACCAACCATTTAAAATCAACTTCCAACCTTTACTAAAGTATGGAAGAAACATTAACTTGGGAGTCAAGGGAACTGGATTCTTGGCTCAGTGCTGTTACCAGTTGAACTGGGTGTCTTGGTGAGTATCACCTACCTTCGCTGGACCTGTTTATTTCACAAAGTAAGATGTTTTACAGTGTAAGTCATATAGAATGAGGCAGATATCCCAGGAGAGGTCAGAATTTAATTACCATTTTTAAGTACTGTCATTCTACTTCAAATACATTGAATTACTTTCTGTTTCTAACCTCATTTTTCCATGAGAAAAAAATAGACTTAAAAACATGTTACAGAAAAAGTTAAATAAGTTATTCTTAATAGTCACTATTAGTGAGTATTTTTGGTGAATGCGTAGGAGTGAAAACAATATGGCCAGTTAAACAAACAAGCAACACGTCTGTTTTTTCCGTGTTGACAGGCTGCTACAGTGGAGGACCACCATCAATGTAGGAACAATGATTTGGGGGTGTGCATGAAACTTGTATGTTACATATCTTATACAACTTTATATTATTCAACCAATTTCCGAACTGGACCTTTTTAAGGTAAGAATAGCTTTATGAATATTAGATAATTATTAGTCCTGAGTAAAGACTAGACCCAGAAGTAAAATAATAAAAATTCAGCTCAAATTTCTTCTCTCTGCCCTCCCTCCCTCCCCCCTATCCTCGGGCCAATCTGGCCGAGTTCTGATGTCTCTAGGCACAGAGCAGGTTGAACAGCTGTTTCACGCACTGCATTTGACTCCCTGTCATTTGGCAGATTGAGATCTCTGCTGAGAGCACTATTTGGAATTTTTTCCCCCAAAAGTGATATTTTTGAACATGGAATTTGAAATATAGTGATGCGCTGATATATATTCATAGAATAATAATGTCGAAAGACAGTGCAATAGATTTATGTCAAAAATCTAACTTTCTCCCAGAAGTGTTTAAGGAGATAACCTTAGATTGGCTGAGGTGGACATGATAAAATATGAATAATGGGTTTTCTGAAAATGTGAATGTAAAAATGATACTAGCTTCAGGTATACAGATTATTGAGAAGAGAATACAGAGATGTATATAAGCAGGTAGGACAAAAGGAACCAGGTTACATTTGCTGAAGGGAGAGAGATTAGGGAAATATAATTAGACAGCCCAAGAAAGTCACTTAGTTAAGGTTCGAGTATTTGAAAGAAAACTAATAATAATCATAAAAACTACACAATAGTTATTATTTCAGCAATAACAAAAATAGCTAATGCTTCCAGAGCTCTTGGCATATATGTCAGCCCTGCTCTAATGCTTTAAATGTAACAATTCATTTAATCTTCTGACTAATAATATGAAGTAAGAACTAACATTCTTGTTCTTCATTTATAGGAGGCAAAAATGAGGCACAGAGGTGGCTCAAGACTGTTAACAGGAAAAGCCAGGGTTTCAGTCTTGTCTTAAAGCCAATGAATGAATCTAAAATCTTAACCCCAGGATAAATGATGCTACAGAAAAGTAGAACACTTTTGAATTAAGAATATATCAATTATGTAATAAGCAAAGCCTGACCAAAGAAAAGAAACCCCATATGTGGTGACAGCAAAAAATGGAATTCCTTTTTATATAAGTCCTTGGTGTGAATTTTATTTCTTTCCAAATTCACCACTTTTGTCCCCACCTTCAGACCAGAGTACCACAGAGCTAAGACTTCCTTTAGGGTCTCAGTCCTTCTCCAAACATTGGCAATCTTCCTTGTCAGAAAGTCTCTTTATATGTCGAATTAGTCATTGACTTCCCAACTTAAACCCACTTCCTCTTCTCTGATCTTTATTGGAGATAAGAGATACATACTAAATGAAGGCAGTGAAAATTCTAATCACCTTGGGTTTTTCCTTTTTATTTAACAACTCGTTTAAATGTACTTCTGTGAAATCTTATATTAAAATCTCCCTGAAGTTAATTACTTATATAGTCAAGTCTTTCTGACAAGCCTATTTGGCCATCCTAAATATACTCATGGTGAGTTTTCTCTTCTTACCTCTCCATTTTCTAAGGGGTGTATCTTGGAATAAAATGAGGTACAGATGACTTCATCATCTTTGGCGTACGATGGTGGTCCAGTGCGGGGGTAAATATTGTAGAGGGTCAGGCACTCTACGTCCGTTACAGCGTGATACTGCCAGGGCTTGTATTCAACATCATCAAGTGAGCGTTCCAAGATCCAATTTCCAGGCCGAGGAGAGTTAGCTGCTTTCACAATCACATACGCAATCTGGAACACCTGGGTAACAATGACAGCAACAATGTGTAACTTTGAGTTCCAAAGTATTCTCACGATTTTATATGAAATATAAGGCTTAATGCTACAATAGGTATGATTTCAGATTTTATTCCATAACCCTTTATGTTCCCTGCAATGATTTTACTGTTATGTGTTCATATTTAATATCTTTTGTAAAGATGGGATGTTTCACTTTGACAGCTGTGTCTTGAAAAGAAATAGGTGAAGATTAGATTTTAGCTAACAATTCATTGACACCATTTCACCTAAATTTTAAAGTTCCATTACAGTCATGATCTCCTAAAGCATTCATTACATACCAATGTACTCATCTTACTGTGCTGGAGAGTATAAAGTATGAGTAAGAAATTCCACATGTGAATGATAGTGCTTGATAGTTTAGAAGATATGCTTACCTACATTACCTAATCCTCTGAAAAGTACCACTTAGATGGAGTTAGTGTGGTGCAGCAAAATCAACACAGAGATTTGGAGGCACAGTCCCATATTCAAATTGTGATCTCAGCATTTATGGGACCTTGGACAAATTATTTGGCTTTTCTAACTCTTAGCTTTCTGTACTGCAAATCAGGGTCAATAATAAATATACAACTGAGAGGCAATTTGGACTAAAAGAGATGACGTGTGCAAAGTGTCTGGCAAAGGACTTGGTGGTGAATAATAAATGTCACTTCCTCTACATCCCCAAATAGAAAATAATGGAAAAGACATTCTGGTAGAACAGACAACTGATGAAAACTGGAACATACTAAAGGAAGGATCTGTACCTTCTGTACAAGAGATAAGAATGTAAAAATAAAGGGGGGTGGATAGCGAAAGTCATCAGAGTGACAACAGAGGGGAATGTGGCACTCCATTTTCAAATCCACATAAAATTTGAAGATGAAAAAATATTCTGGAAGTTTTGCGGTAGTACGTATGTGTGGATTTGTCCAATGCAGTCTGAGGGTCCAAAAGAATTGAGTAATATTTATCTGCAATGCTTTGGATGGAAAGATACATACAGACTACTTATTTTATAGTCCCATCATCTGTGGGATGGTAATATATTGTAATAAGAAGACATAAAAATAGACTAGTAACAAAGCAACATGATATGTTTATGCTCTGTGATATGGGGGAGCTTAACAGCTATCGGCTCTGAGTGGGTGCAGTCACTGGAAGTGTAAAGCCGGGAGGGCAGGCCCAATAAATAATGTGATTAAAGGGTCTGCTGGACCACAGAGGAGATCCTGAAAGAAATGTTCTAGAAATAAGCTTTATCTGCTCCATAGTTTTGACATGAGACCTTAATGAATACAAAGACAGTATTTATGGTAAACTCTAAGAGGCTGAATTTAGAAATATGAAAAGTTGGTACAGAAGGGGCAATGGAAGGGGCTTTGATGCAGGTCTTTTGAAATGGTCTGAGGTCTTCTGAGATCTTTATTAGAAGGCATGCACACTTATGTGCCATTAGGGAAAAACCACGAGCCATCAAATGATAGAAAGTAGGGCTGGAAGTTGTTTTTAGGAACAGTTGTGAAAAAATTATGGTTAACATACTGAAATACTTCTGTACTTGTTGGTGAACTGCTGTGGCCCAAGGCTCCCAAATGTCTTCTGTCCCCGAGACCATCTGGTTAACCTCAGCATAGCAAAGAAAAGCCAATACATCTATCCTAATTGGTCTGGACTTTGTTATGTTTTACTGAATATCATCCTAGGTGGGAAATACTATGAATCTATATTTACAAGGTATACAGATAAGTAAAATTGCAGACAGGCACACATACCTATGTTTGTGCATATAAATACTTAAATACACTTAGACCTCTGGACAAAGATATGCATGGCATATTAAGGATGTTACCGATGGGGTTTGAGAATAAGGAGTCAAAGAGAGACGGAGAACTTTTATATTTTACCCCATCTCCTGTTTTATTTATTTATTAACACAAATATTTTAGTTCTTAAAAAATTACATTTAAAATAAAGGAAAATGAAAGCAAATAGATATCAAGAAAAGATAAAAATAGGAGTAAAATGGAAAATGCTCCATCAACCACTATCTAATATATTTGTTATTTCTCCATTTTAAGGTGTTATTCATAAGGAATTATTTTAGGCACTCCATATTCACCAACTCTTTCATCTTCTATTTTTATAAAGAAATTCACTGAAGAACATACCTGTTGATTAATCTGACAAAACACAGAGAGGTAGTTGTCTCTGTTATAAATATAAAACACCTGGGTCCTGGTGATCCTAAAGTATTCATGACAAGGTTATTAAAATGATAAAGAGTACAAATAACTAAATTGTGAGCTCCTAAAGGGCAGAGATGCTATAATCTTTATTATAATTCATTTGAAATAGTGGGCATTCAATATTTATTAGATTTAGTTGAATAACCAAAACACTGTAATATGCTTTCTTGTAACTTCTATTTGCATTATGCTTTTTTTTTCCTGTTTGTTTGAGTTTGACTCCCTTTCAACACTAGCCTATTTTGTCACTTGCAGGAACTAAGACATATATGGTGTTCATCCTATTATATTTCTGTGAGCTGAGGAAATTGCTTAAACTCTTTTTTCCTCTGTTTTCCAATGTTTCGTTTACAAAGTCAAAACCATGGAAGAGGTCCAGAAATAATGAATATAAAACACTGAATGTTCTCTGAAAAAAAGAATCTATAAATATTTCAAATTAGCATCTTTCCATCTAGAAAAAAAATCGCAGAGCTTAAAAAAAAAACAAAAAGAGAAATAGCAAAGCATAATTAGAAATCATAGGAAAATAAAATAAGAAAAATAAAAGTACACTAAGGATATGGCTAAAAACTTCTGTTCAGAAAACAGCTCAGGAAGCAAATATAAGAAGAGGCCAAATTCTCTAATGTGGATATATGACTGAGGAGTTTCTGTGTTGGCTTTGGAATAATAGATGAAATTCATGAAATAAAGTTATAGTAAAACCCCCCAGACTCTTCCTATAATTCAATTTAATAGTCAGCATTAACTGACATGGAGAAACAATCATTACCTTAGAGAATATTAGAAGGGCCCCATTTCAAAAACAATATTCCTCTTACATTTATTTTCTATGGATTCTTTCACATCCGATCCAAAGTTAATTAAATTAGTTGGCATGTAGTACTTTGAACAAACTTTTTAAAATGTGGTAGATAGCATTATTGAAAATCACAATGAATAGAAGTATTCTTTGAAGGTGTCAGAGAATAGCTGTGAACACTTTTACAGTGGTTTTCTTAGTAGTCCAATTTTAATGAGCCTAATAGAATAATTCTCTTTATGTACCTACACTACTTTCATTAACTATGCCTTCTCTTTTCAGCATAAAGGCTCTTCAAAATCAGTAGTTATAAAACCTATTTCCAGATGAATAAAACCCTTATTTGTATAGGGTGCAAAAAGGAAAGCAAACACCTCGTTATGAGGAGCACACAAATGCTATGACAGCTAGTTTTGATGAACCTTAGATATTAACACATAATCCCCAAATTTTCCTCTGTTGGAAGGTACTTTTTTTACAACTCTGGTACATGAGTAAAAAAAAAAATCCAAAATAACTTTAGAAATGCTACCAAATGTTAGACATTTTATACATAACAAAGTGAATTTTCTATTTCACATTCCATTTGTATGTCACCTAACAAAATATCATGTAATTACCTCACTGATGCAGAACTGAATTAGATGTTCCTGCTATCCAAAGCAGTGTCTTAAGACTTAATCTCTTTTAGAGCAGAATTGGAGAATAGAGTCTTCCTAAGAAATCCTTCAGTCCCCAAGTAGCAAGTAACATATAATTCCCACCATATACAGAGATGCTTTCCAAACTTTCTTGCATCACGGTTGAGATGCAATATCAGTACAGCACTGGGGTAAAAGGAGGAGACATCACAGTTTAAAGTTAGCATCCTAGAGGTTTTGATCAGTCTGGATGCTGAATATCTTAGCTCACCTATAATCAATTGGTTCTGACATCTGGAACCAATTTCTAGCACATGCATTGCTGGGTCCGGATTTTTTTTTTTTAATATTCTCTTCTGTGACTCTAAGGAACCCACTTTATCCTAGTTTCTTTATCCTTAGAAGAATCACAGATTTAGAAAAATGCTACCAAACAATATGTGTTTTGGAGATTTCACTGAGACTTTTGAGTCATGGGCACACAATTAAGAGAGCCAGGCCAAAGTGTGACTCCTTCATAATGTAACAAAGCCATGAGACCTGTCTCCTATAAGCTAACACCCAAGAAAGCCAAGAAAATATTAATGAAGGTCACTCTCTATAGAAGATGACACTCCATCCTCCTCATAAGACTTGAATGATTTCTTCTATTTCTTCTTTCCTTATCTCTAAAGAGAACAACATGTGGCCATTGAATCAACCTGCTGTTGAGCTTTGCCTTGTTCTCCAATGTGGCTACTGCTGTGAATTTTCTACAGCAAGTCCACATAACAAATCTGCTTAATTTTGAGAGTCTTTGCAATATTTTAGCACCCACTCTTGCCCATAATTTGAATTCTAACATTTCCACGTGCTGTATGCCATCTCTAACATACTTTGAAAACTCATCTCTATTATTAATTCAAATAGTTTGCTTGTCAAGTTCTCACATTTATCCATATAGTTATACTGGTTTCCAGAAACCAATGAGTTACACAATATCAGAACCAGAAAGGATCCCAGAAATCATGAGTTTTCAAACTTAGTACCCACTGGAATAATATGGGAAACTTTATAGAAATGTGTACATGTCTCTGTGTTTGAGATGATGGATGTAATTCATATTATCTGCTCTTTTACCTGAGACTTCAAAAGAGAAAATATAAAGAAATAAAATAAAAACAAATAACAACAAAGAGAAGAGGATGAGGAGAGTTCAGCATTTTTCTAGAAGGTCTGTGGGAGCTGGCTAATAAGGAAGAGCAAGAGGTCATGGTCTAAAGCACACAAAACAGCTGTCACCCT